GTGGCTGGCGCCTTAGCCGGTTGAGCTATAGGCGCCGAGCCCAAAGTCACTTTCCATTCACCCCTGCCCCCAGTCCTTGGCAGTCACAAATCTACATTTTGTCTCTATGGACTTGCCTATTCTGGATATTTTATATAAATATAATCATACACCCAGCACTCTGGGAGACTGAAGCAGGTGGATTGCCTGAGCTCACGAGTTTGAGACCAGCCTGAGCCTGAGTGAGACCTGCCTCTAAAAATAGCCAGGTATTGTGGTGGGCGCCTATAGTCCCAGCTACTTGGGAGATTGAGGCAAGAGAATCACTTGAGCCCAAGAGTTTGAGGTTGCCATGAACTATGATGACACCACAGCACTCTACCCAGGGCAAAGATGGGATTCTTTCTCAGTCAGTGCAGCCTCAAACTCCTGGGCTCAAGTGATCCTCCTGCCTCAGCTTTATGAATAGCTAGGACTAAAGGTGTATCCTCTGACACCTGGCTAATTTAAAAATGTTTTTGTAGAGATAGGGTCTTGCTGTGTTGGCTAGGCTGACAATTTTACATTTTGATATGATCAGATTTGTGAATCTTTTTTTTCATGGTTCTTGCTTATATAATTTTTTAGCGTACTGTACTGTTTAGTATGGAAAATTTCAATTCAAACCATGTTAAATACTTGATTACTTTTCAGAATCATGAATTGGTTTCTCATCATTCTCAATAAGTGACCTTTATTAGGAATGGATGGCAATGAATTCATTATGTATTCCAGTCCATTGCAGTTGTTTTTATTTTACTCATAGTGTCTCCATATTGGCCAGAGGATATATTTCAAGTGGGTTCTTGAGTCCTTTTACTCCGACAGACCGGAGTAATTTTACTAGCCTCTTTGTTTTCTGATATGAGATATTCTAGGCTTATTTTACACATTTATGGCTTCAGACTACGTATCAGCTATTCTTTTCCAGAAGCTCTGGTGTCTTTTAGTGTGAAATGAGACCACAATCTGGGCTGTAGAACTTAGTGCTACTGAGGTTGTGATTGTTTTTGGAACTTAAAGTGATTAAAGCTAAGAGACACATATTATTTGTTATAATGGGAAAAATGTATCATGAATTCATACTAATATTTCTAATTTTAACTTGGTGTTATAGTTTTACTTTACTTCGAATTTATGTTTTTATTTGAAAATTTATATTCCAAAGGGCAATAATATGATTATTTGTTTTATCCTCTAAAACAACATGTAGTTTCAGAATAACAATACCAAAATTATCATTAACAAAATATTTTTAAAACCAATTTAAGAGTTTTTTTTTTTTTTTTGAGACAGAGTCTCACTTTGTCACTCTTGGTAGAGTGCAGTGCTGTCATAGCTCACAGCAACCTCAGACTCTTGGGCTTAAAGGATTCTCTTGCCTCAGTCTCCCAAGTAGCTGGGACTACAGACACCCACCACGACAATCAGCTATTTTTAGAGATGGGGTCTTGCTTTTGCTCAGGCTGGTCTCCAACTTGTGAGCTCAGGCACTCCACCTGCCTTGGCCTCCCCAGTGCTGGGATTACAGGTGTGAGCCACCGTGAAGCATAGATTTTTTTGCAGTTCTTTTGTCCTTAGGGCATATCTTCCATTATGATGTAGGATCAGATTCCTGTGTTTTAAATACAGCAGAAATTATTCTTCTGTGATTGGCATGTTATCAACTTGGTGTACAATTAGATTATTTCATTTGCTACTTGGTTTTATTTTCATTTTGGTAACTTGTTTTTTAAAATTACAAGAAATGCATAGGTTCAGCACCTGTGGCTCAAGCAGCTAAGGCGCCAGCCACATACACCCAAGGTGGCGGGTTCGAATCCAGCCTGAGCCCGTCAAACAACAATGACGGCTGCAACCAAAAAATAGCCAGGCGTTGTGGCGGGCACCTGTGGTCCCAGCTACTCGGGAGGCTGAGGCAGGAGACTCGCTTGAGCCCAGGAGTTGGAGGTTGCTGTGAGCTGTGATGCCACGGTACTCTACCCAGGGGGACAGCTTAAGGCTCCTGTCTCAAAAAATAAATAAATAAATAATAAAATAAATAAATAACAAGAAATGCATAAATGTTTCCAAAGATGAATCTATAAAGAAAAGACTATTCAAGGATCACTCATTCAAACTTCCATCCCTTTGCATCCATCCTGTTCCTTCCCTCACCCTATGAGGAAACACTCATTCTGTTTTATGATTTATCTTTTTGTTATTTTTAATATAAACATCCATATGTATAGTTTCCTTTTATATGTAAAAGTTACCATATTATACTTGGTTGTCTCAAATTTCCTTTACTTAGTGATAGACTCTGGAGTTCACTCTGTAGCAGTGTTTGGAGATATTCCCAGTTCTTCTTTCAGTTGCTTAGCACTCTGATGTGTGAGTCTATCATGGTACTTTCCACCAATTGTTTATTTGGGTTATTTCAACTCTTTTGTAAATATAAATAATGATGTAGCCTTGTGCCTACATCTTTTCATTTTGGGCCATTGTTTCCTTGTGATAGATTACTAAAAGTGAGACTTCTGGGTTAATTGGTAAATTCATATCTTATTTAACTAAATGTTGTTATATTTCACTACATAGTGGTTGATTATTTTGCATTCACACCAGCAGGATATGAGAATGTTTTTATGCTTACAGCAAATAAAACTTAGTATAGGTATTGTTATTCTTTTGGATTTCTGCTAGTTTCATAGGAATGAAATAGCTCAGTATAATTTTTATTTACAATTTTCTCTTTACTTAGAAATGTGATTTTTTTTTTAGAGAAGCAATCTTGATTTCAGACATTTTAGTGCCATTTGCATTTTTCCTGCAAATTTTCTATTCATAATTCTTGCCCATAGTTCCATAGAGTTTATAGAGTTGAGTGTTTTTTCTTCCATATTTGTATTAACTGTTTATATAGGGATATTTGCTCTTTCTTTGACATGTAAGTTGCAGATATTTATTCCTAGCTTGTCCTTTTTATTTTATTTTGGTTATAGGTTTTTAAAAAATTATTTAATTAGAGAGTTTAATTTCTAATTTTATGTAGTCAGATTTATTGCATCTGGATTTTTAGTCATGGTTAGGAGTGTTTTTGCTTTTTTCTTAGGTTATGGGGTATCTGCCCATATTTTGTCTCTTTTTTATGTTTAACATTGATCAATTTGGCATTTTCCTTATGTATGGGAACAGATCCTGTTTTTTTTCCACCTATCTGTTCAGTTATCCTACCATCTCAGTGAAAAATTCTTAGTTCATGCTTTATGATACTGTCTTTATCATTTATTAAATTTCAACAGGGTTTGAGGCTATTTTTGGAATTTATGCTCATATGTCATTCTACTTATGTGTCTATGTCATATTATTTTAATGATAGGTGCTCTGTATAATTTTTAGTATTTGACAGGTTAGTTCTTTTCATTGCTCTTTTTTCAAGTTCTTATATATTTTGGCTTTTTCCTTCTTCCAATTCAAATATCCTACATATAATCAACTTGATAGGGTAGAACTTGATAATATTTTTATTGAGACTGCATTAAATTGCTGGATTAATTTATTGTGACCTGACATCTTTTTGGTTGGTAATTCTGTCGAAGAACATGGGCTAGCTTTCAGTTTGTTCATATATAACTTTTTAAGGAGTAATTTAATAGTTTTCTTCATGTAGGTTTTGTTCATTTCTTGCTATAATATCATGCTCAAGTATTTTTACTTCAGCTTTATATTTTGCTAAGTTAAGAAAAAATACACATTTG